AACAGCAGTTTTAAATTTACCGCTTGTTGTGTGACGTCACACTTCGACAATTTTGATTGGTCGCATGCGCGTGAGCATACCCTTATCCTTATACCATGGACACAAGTAATTTCGTTCAATCAAGACGTGATCTGAAGTCTCGTTTGCTTGCTCGAGTGGGACGGACGCTCGTCTGCCCTGCTTCGGGTATTGCATCATTTCATTAATTTTTTGAAAAGCGATTCCGGCTTTAACTGTGATTAGTAAGCATGGCCATGTTCACCCCGTTGTCGAGGGCCTGGGCCAATTAAATTAATAAGAAGAAGAAGACGTGATCTGGCCGTATCGACCTCCTTTTGTTGTTTGGAGGCGGGAGCCATTAAGTAATAAGAAGAAGATGTACATTCAGAACTCCAGAACTTTCTAGGTTATCTTTTTAGGCCTTCTCTCTTTTAGGAACGACATTATATGGACAGGTATCCTATTTGATGAAAGTGAGAAGAAAAGTTCTAGTGTAATCTAGTGCAGCGATAAAAAACAAACCAGCTATTTCGACGACTAGAAAGATGACAGATACTTGGCGTTTGGATATTTTACCAAACGAGATGTTGCTGTCAATTTTCAATTATTGCAATGCATATGATTTGATACAACTCAGCCAAGTATGCAAGCGATTTTACAGGATCATATCAGATACGGGCTGGAATAAAAAGAGGAAATCATTTCTCGTTACAAATCAAACGTCGGAAATGTTTCGTAAAAGGTATGTTGTTAGGTTGTGTTTAATCTGTGCTTGAACTGAAATTTCTGAAATTTTTCTATTTAAACCTAAATTTAGACTTGAACGAAGCAAATTTGATCGCACAAACGTAACAGTTCTTCAGTATGATAAGATAATTACGATAAGATAATCTTATTTATTGTTTTCTTTATGCAATGTGTATTTTTATGAGATATTGATATTTAGCTTTGTTGAGAATATGAACTATATTATCGATCAGTTAGTAATTGCATTAAACTAATCGATAGAGATGGCATTTATTTCGGAAGTTGTTATTTCATCTGTCTAAAGTTTAGAACATCCCTGTTGCTTGCTCCTTTTTCCTATAGACCTTGGTACCAATCGATTGTGTTAATTGCAAGGCCTTGCAGTGGCGATATTAGATAACTTTCTAGTTTCAGATAAGTCTAGAATAAGCAATCTGTCTGTACGAAGTACTAGAATTTATCTCTGTTTAATTGACTAAATATTAAGATTATTGTTATATTATGAAGTTTGGTTCCTCTCTTGTTATCTTGTTTATCAATTAATTAATATTTGTATTTCCTGTTAGACGAGAGGTAAGCTTGTTTATAAGTTCTGTTCTAATTAAATATGGACTTAAATGAGAATTGTGTATTCTTTTATTAAGAAACTTTCAACAAACTTTTTACAGTTTACAAAAGAAAGCTGTCTTCTGATAATTATATATATATATATATATATAAGAAAGAATAAAATAAAAATTAGAAGATTGTGTTATTTTTAGATGTTTTACATTGTTGCAACCACATGCAGCATGGCACATATCTCAGAACTGGTATTATGGAATATATAAAAAAGAAGCTGTATTCTCATGGAAAAAAAGTATGATACCATGGCTAAGAATGACAGACAACATGCTTTGGTGGATGTTTGGGGATCTTTATGGCTTTAAGCGTCATGAGAAGACATTAAATAAGTACCGATCAAGATATCATACCGTAGAATCCTGTGGTCTTCACATCAACAAATTCATTATTTGGAAAAACTTCGTCATATGTGGTTATATGTATATATATACGCATATATATATATTTAGTTAATCATTTTTTATTTCTACATACATATAATCCTTTGCAAAAATCTTTACAGGGATGGCACTATAGTCTACTTTATGGTAAATTTCGAAGACGATTTGCGTACTGCAAAGATGATCGCACAGAAGTCAGCTTCTGTAAAATCTACTGTTAATGCCATAGATGCCTCATTGGAAAATGTTATTGCGGGTTTAGATAATGGTACAGTAAAGGTAAGATTCGGTGAATCTGATACAGTAATGTAGTATATGATGTAAAATTCATTTTTGTTTAGATATTTAGACATCCAGAACTTTTGAATGTGAGGACTTGGGATCAAATATGCAATATGGATATAGACAAAAGAATGCTTACTGGCGATGATAAAAAGGGGGAAGTCTATGTAAATCTAAAGGATAAAGTGCAATCGCTTTCAATTGATCCTACTGGAGTAACATTTGCCGTTGGCTCTGCTGGAATAAATGACGTTCCATTACATGTAATCAATGTCGAGCGGTATGTGTAATATTGCAATATTTAATCGATCCATGAGATCTAGAATTAACTACGATTTTAATGCGATCGATCATACAAATAACACATATTGAATACTTTGAAAAAAAAAAAACTAACGGAGAGATTTCAGTTACACAATGGTCGATACAATGCAGCACGAGTGGAAGTACGGCGCTGGAATATTAGACATGGTATGGGATGATCCCAACACTTTACTCACTTGCGGTTATGATACATACATCCGAAAATGGGATTTGAGGTAACATCTCGATTGCTCAATCACTATTTTCAGCTTTATGTAATATTAACAACTATGATTTGAGAACTGGAAGATGCGTTTGCTCATGGGTGGATCCATGCGATGCAACATTATATTGTATTGCATCCGATAATCAATATACTATGATAACAGGGACACAGTATAATTGTTTAGCTATTCTATGGGATCAGAGGAAAAGTGATTTCGTTCAGGTTTTTATCAAAACTTTTAAACTGATATATGTGCTTTGTAAATTACAAATTGTTTATGATAAATATTTTTTCAATATTTCTAGATGTATTACGTAAATTCGCAAGAATCATCTCGACGCAGCCCAATCTATTCTTTACAATTTGATAGTACACATCTGTACTGCGCTACAGATAAACGCATGATCGAATTAAACTTTTCACTCCGTTCAAATCAAAAGCATGATTACAAGTCGTTATTCGCATATTTAAAAAATAGGTAAATGCAAATAAAACTTTTCATGGTAAAGAAAAGTTTAATTACAATTTGTGACGAAAAGCATGGAAGACATGAAGGGCAAAATCAAATTCTGAGAATTGATTCCTGGATGTATCTCGTAAAAATGGTGCGCTTTATAAAAACAGCGATATTATTTTATTATAAACTGTAATGATACGAATTGTAATTATTGTGTGTTGCATATATATAAAAATAATGGTTGTAAATAAATATTTAGCCGCAGATATTAATGTTCATAAAAAAAAATGGAAACTAGCCAAAGTATTGTTAAAATTTCTCGATGTAATTTTTGGCATTACCGAAGATCTATACTTGAATTCACTGTGCGAGTTTTGTTACGAGGTTTCATGCGCATTTACGGAATTTTATGACAAATGTTACTACGTTGAAAAGAATCAGTATGGTGAAATAGTAAAAATAAATATGGGACATATATATATACAGGGTGTCAATTATGTACCGGGACGGTCAAATATTTCGACAACTTCCAACATTAAAAAAAAACGCTGAAACACGTGAAACGATTTTTCAAAAAATCTACTTTCTGCGGGGGGTGACGCCCCCCCACCTCCAAAGGGACCGGGGGGGTGCGAATTTCTCGATGTAATTTTTGGCATTACCGAAGATCTATACTTGAATTCACTGTGCGAGTTTTGTTACGAGGTTTCATGCGCATTTACGGAATTTTATGACAAATGTTACTACGTTGAAAAGAATCAGTATGGTGAAATAGTAAAAATAAATATGGGACATATATATATATATATATATTCTCTTGCTCATGGAAGCTATTGCGCTTATTTTAAAGAAATACTTTAGTTTATTAGGTTTAAAACCTGTTGCACAAATGTAAGGATAAGAGAGCAACCTCTTACCATATACATATACGAGTACTTTAATATAATGAAATATAAAAAAGTTAATTATAAGAGAGTGTGTGAAACTAATTTATAGTATTGAAATCTAATAAAATCTAATTTAATAAAAAAGCATTAATATAAAAATATGTTGATTTTTTTGCAATTTTTCTATATTTATTATGCTATATATAAAAACTTAAAAAATTAATAAATTATGTTATTGTATTCTATATAATATTAATTTTAAACATATAAAATCTATCGGGTTTAAAAATCTATCGTACACAAACCTCTTTTATCTTATGAGATGCGCAGACTTCAAACTGACTTTTTATCAAGAGTCTATTTTGTTTCGATTATTATTCAGAATAATATAAGATTCTCTCTATCAAAGTTATACAGTCCGAATTATATTATCAGCGTTATTTAATATAATATTTAGATTTTGTTGGTTACATTTTAAAAGTATTTTTTACTGATTTGGAATGGATCTAAGATAATTTATCTGTAATTTATGTGTGAACAATTTGTATTTGTATGACATTTTTTTTCTAGATTACACCTTGAAGAATTAACATATAATTGAAAATCATTCTGTATAATAAATAAAGTAAATTGTATTGCAATGATTTATTATTATTATTATGCATATCAGCATATATATACACATAAAAACAATATAATTTTTCCGTACATATACGTATATAAGATGGATAGATAACGATTATAAATAATGAGAAAAAAATTTTTAACAACAATGGCAAAGAGTTAGATTAATAAGCTTTGCGTTTTGTTTAATTTTGGATTACTTCCGCTGTAAAACTAATATAGCGTAAAAACTTAGTATACAAAAGTTTGAAATGTTATGAAATAAATATATTTATTAATGGCATGCTGTACACGAATATTATAAATGCCATATTAGTAAATTTTAGATAATAAAAAGAATAGGCATTTATTACGAGCGTTTACTTTGTATTTCTTCCATGTATTTAAAACTCAATCTTGTTTAAAAGAGGTACAGCTGATATCCCAAAACCAATATTAAGTATCTCATTAAGTAGCCTTTTTTAAGAGGATCATTTATATTCAATTTTTTAAATCACTCATCAAAGCATTGTTCGAATCATATAATTAAGAATACCACCGTGTTTGAAGTAAGTCAAATCGACATCCGTATCAAATCGTGCAATCACTTCGAATTTCTTCCCGTTGTCCATGTTCACAGTGATTATTTCTCCAGGTTGACAATTCGTGGGGATCATAATATCGTATTGCTCGTAACCCGTTAATCCCAAGGTCTCTGCATTTTCTCCAGGAAGATATTGTAGTGGAATAATGCCCATACCCACAAGATTAGACCTACAAATAAATAAACTAATTTAAATATAGATATACATTAAATAAAAACAATTGTAAACCAGATTTCTTTAAACAAAAATAGAAAACTTAATATTTTCTTTCAAGTTGTTTACTTTAAACATACAAGCTAACTCTTAACTTTTTAAAAGAGATGTTTCTTAAAATTAGTTGGAAAAACTACTTAAAATTGATTAAAAAATAAATATAATGCTTTAAAAAAAATACTTGCCTGTGTATTCTTTCATACGATTCTGCTATAACTGCTCGAATACCGAGTAAATACGGTCCTTTGGCGGCCCAATCTCTGGAAGATCCAGATCCGTATTCCTTGCCAACTAGAGCGATTAAAGGTGTTTTGTCTTTCGCGTACTTCTCGGCCGCATCAAATACGTCCATCTAAATTATATATAGCCAATTGTTATTAACACATTCGTTTTTACCAATGTATATTTAAAAACCTGTCCGTTACAGATATTGTGCCACTTTTTAAACATTTAAGGGGTTAGACTGGCGTAAAATTTTTTTTAAATCGAAAAAGTTTTTTGCTTTAAAGTAGTTTGAAACCTGTAGAATATAGAACAAAAGGCCTTAAATATAAATTCGAGTTAGTTTCTGAGTTACAAAGCCTACAAAATTTGCACTATATAATATAAAAATCATGTTGTAAAACTTTAAATGCGTTTTTCTTGAAACCTTGTTTTTCAAAATGATATCGAAGATTTCTCAGGATGTACTCATTGGATTGACTTGAATTTCGGTATTTTATTAACTTTATAGTATTTTCTAAGCATTGACCGACGATTTTTACAATATGATTATTATTTTGCAAGATATCGATAAATTAATTAATAATATTTGTGCCAAAAGTCAAACCAAAAGTTAAAAAAATTTGTTTTCAGTCAAATTTTAATAAATTTTGAATAAGCTCGGCCAATGATGAGGGAATACAATACACTTCAGTAATATTTTTTTTTTTAGAATTTTGTTAATTTTTTTGTTTCATACGATCCAATATGGCGGAATCATTGACACCAATGACTGATAGGGAAAAAATTGATCTTTCATAACATTTTAATAAATGGTGTTAAGATTATTATTTTTACTTTTGCATATTTTATACTTTCAATGTGTACTTGAATAAGGGACCAAAATACAAACCTGCAGCTTTTTCATTTCTTCGGCAATCCACGCTTAAAAATTACCTATTTTTGCAGCTGGTCACACACCGGTCTAACCCCTTAATGTATTTAAATCATATATGTTTAAAAAATGCAAAATTTATGCTTATCTATCTGTGACAAGGATTAAAACGAATTATAATATTAAATAAATATTAAATATTTAAAGCTATATGCAATGAGAAATTAAACCAGAACGAGAAAGCACATATAATACCTCTTCATTTGTTGGAATGTAGATCGTTCGTGGTCCCGCTTTACCAATAAATTTATTCACGAGACGAATGTTAGCGAATGTGCCCCGCGCCATCACGGCATCATTTCCTCTACGTGACCCGTAGGAATTGAAATCTTTTGGCGTCAAGCTAGAAATGAAAATAATCATTAAGAATTTAGCCAGTTTGCATATGTTGCTTCCACTATTTCGTTGATACTAAACTCACCCTCGATTAGCTAGATATCTCGCCGCTGCTGAATTACGCGCAATACTGCCTGCTGGGCTAATATGATCGGTTGTAACAGAATCTCCAAGATTTATGAGCACTCGCGCTTTTGTAATCGATTTGATTGGAGATAACTCCTGTAAAATCATTTTTTATTTTTTTACAAATACTAGGTGAGTTTTTTAACTAGAGACTGCAAAATATCTGGAAAAATAAGCATTGTACGAAAAAATGTTCCAAGTAAACCGTCAATATTTTTGAGCAATTCTAACCCGCAAAAATTAGCCGCCTCCCGTTCTCCTCTGGGTGTGAGGCTGGGGGTAACTTTGAAATTTTAAATGGGAACCCCTACTTTTTATTGCAGATACAGATTCTACGTCCAAAAACACGTCAATTTTGTCTAAATCTTTTTTTTCGATTCCTGATAGATGGCGCTGCATTCGGCAAAAATTAATCTTCGTAAGTTCAAGGAAAATCCCTATGTTTTATTGCACAATGATGTTGAAGAAAGCAACTTTTGCCTGAAACATGTTTTTCGAATTATCGTAGATATCTACGATAATTTGTTATTTGTTCTTAGTTTTACCCAGGATTAACGACGTGAACGTGACAGAAATTATAATCGGAATCGAAAAAAAAAGGTTTAGACAAAATTGACGTGTTTTTGGACGTAGAATCCGAATCTGCAATAAAAAGTAGGGGTTCCCATTTAAGTCAAACAATTACAATATAAGTCAAGGGTTAATAAGAGTCAATTTAATTAATAAGTATCATAAAGTGATCTTAACCATTAAAAATAATAACTAAATAAATATACATGAGTATTCAATGAAAAAAATTACATGTTTCGGTTCTCGATTCGAGCCATCTTCAAATTCTCTCTATATCCTACTGTTTCCCCTTATAACATTAATACATAAAAATATTTATTTTTTGGTAACTACGTCATAATACGGACACCAATGTGTCGACTTCATTGTACCCTGGCTTCGTGCAATGCTTCAATGCGATCATGCTGTTCTTCAAGGGACTGATTGATCCATTGCTTTTGTCATGAATCAACACTGACAGCATCACAAACACAGTCAAGCCACAATCTATCAATATTCTCACAGTCCTGATCAGAATAGAAAATTAAAAGAATCTTAACTAAACTTTAAAAAATATCGCAGTATTTAACTTAGTCATTTGAATAAATTAGTTGAGTCGAATATTCTCGAACTAAGCTTTCCGTAAACACATTTTCATTTTATGATACTTATTAATTAAATTGACTCTTATTAGCCCTTGACTTATATTGTAATTTTTTTATTTGAATTTGTAAGAGTCCTTTGTTATTATATATATATTCCCATTTAAGATTTCAAAGTTACTTCCAATCCCACCCCCAGGGGGGAGCAGGAGACGGCTAACTTTTGCTCCCTCAAAAATATTGAGTGTTTATTTGGAACAGTTTTTCGTAAAATGCTTATTTTTCAGATATTTTACAGTCTCTGGTTAAAAAACTCACCTAGTATAAAAATTTTTAAATAAAAAAGCAAAATTATTCTTCAGCACATAAATATCTTTAAAAATAATAAAAAAATTTTGTTTAACCCGACTGCTATTATTAGCACAGCTCAGATAGTTTTTCTATATTAATATCTAAAACTCTAAATATGTAACATAACTTTCAAGAAGTAAAAGCTAATGTTAAGATAAAAAAATTAAATTTAAATAATTAATAAAACCATAAAACAAAAACCATACTCCTATTGCCAGTAATACATATTTTATGGTTTTATTATTTTAATATATATTAAAGGAGTTTGTAAAAACTTATTAGTTTTTATATTAATTTGTAATTTGTCATAATTAAATTTAAATTCTTTTCGTATTCCATAAAAATTTCAAGATCAAGCATTTATAGTGTTTACAATAAAATTATATATCTAATTACTTTCTGCAAATTATCGAAATAGGGTGGATTTTTAATGTACGTAGAATTAATATCCCATGGATACAGTTTGCCGTCAGGCGCTATCAAGCTTGCCCAATTGTCGCTACCATGTTCGATTTTACTATAGACTTCTTTGAACATGGCTGGGATGACATACTTCTGTTCAACAGCTTGAATTTCTGATCTGGTCGGCCAAATATCTTGTAAAAATATTGGAGTACCATCAGCTTTGCGACCTTGTAAATAACAAAAATGTCATATAAATTATGCATATGCAGTATGCATTTCTTATAAAGACTATACATAAATCTAATAAAGCGAAGATGATTTTACATCTTACCTAGTGGCTGTTTCTCGAAGTCAAAGTCTACAGTGCCAGCAATGGCATAGGCTATTACTAGGAGCGGAGATGCTAAATAATTTGCCCGGGTATTCGGATGGACTCTGCCTTCAAAGTTTCTGTTGCCTGACAGAACTCCACAGCAAATGAGTTCATTCTACAAGGTATTTAACGCTGTTTTATATGCAGAGATAATGTTTATAAAGGAAAAAAGAAATTATTTAATTTCATAATTAATGAATGATATGACAAACTTTGCAAAGTTTAATGGTTTTTTAATGATTTTTAAACGCATTTTATTCAATTTATAATTGTCAACAATTTATAGAATTATTTTTACCTTTTAGCAAGAATTAAAAAAAATGACAAGTAGAATTTAAATACGAAAACAGTAAATTAGTCTACCTTTTCAATAGTTTCGACTATAGCGTCAGGAAGCGGGCCGCTGTTTCCGATACAAGTCATACAACCGTAACCAATAATGTCGAAACCTAACTTGGTTAGATATGGAATCACACCACTTTCCTGGAGATAATAAGTAACAACTCCAGAACCAGGTGACAATGATGTTTTTATATACGATTCAACACTCAAGCCAACCTCCACTGCCTTTTTAGCAAGAAGACCTGTATTATATCAAAATATCAAATTTTATATTCTAATTCTCAACATCCTTCTCATAGAATTACAATTTATATTCTTTCATAATTAAATAGTTAATGAAATTTTATATTAACGATAAAAAACTAAACATTTTTTATATATATATATATATATTTATTTTTTTTCTTATTTTTCATTTATACAACCATATTTCTTATTATTCTAATCTAAATTTCAAAATATGAAACAAGTTTCTTTAAATAGACAAAATGTTTAAGCTAATAATGAATATCCTAATAATAATTTAAAAAGCACTAATTTTATTTTTAATTATATTTGTGATTTAACTGTGCTTTTAAAATCTAAAAATTCGTATTGCATTAACAAATGATGATAATTTTGGATAGATATTTAAAATTGCGTTAACAGATTAATTTTATTTCATGCTCTTCAATAAATCATTTGCATTAATGTAATAAATTATAAAATATTAAACGTTATATATAGCTGTAATAAATTTTTCTGATAAAATTCATAACACACCTGCTCCAAGCATAACGCTAGGATTGCTAGTATTCGTACAACTGGTAATAGCTGCAATTACTACAGAACCATGTTTCAATTCGTACTCTTTTCCTTCGTACTTAAACTTCCCCACGGAATCCACCTTCGTAGAAGTCAAACCATAACCTTTGAAACCTACCTATAACAAAAAATTGTTATTATGTTATACATTTTCGACAGTTTGTAAGAATTTCATTTATATATTTAAATGTACGATCAAAATAACTCTTTTCGTGGTAATAAAAAATACTCAGTTTTTTAAATAATTTCTAATAAAAAGATTCATTAGCAATTAAGGCTGATTAAATCTAAATGTAAAAAAATATATGCACTTTGAAAAGAAAAGGTTAAATTTTTATCTTAATTTAACACACATTATAAGCTTTTGATGCATATGAAAAAACTGGGTTGGATTTTAATTACGATTGAGTTAAACCACACATTCGAATATTACAGACAAGTATAAAATTTAAAAGTCATATATCACCCAATATTCTGTTCTTCATTCATATATTTTTAAACATCTTTTAAAAGTGAAAAATATAATAATCCTTGAAAAATATCCCTTCTGAGAAGCTACGATAAAAGTCGCAAATAATTACAAGTTAAAAATTGTACGCTATAAATAATACTTTTTTTTTACGCGATTTATTGTTCCGAGCCATTATTTGTTGTCTCATAAATTTAGCAAATTTGATGCGTCGAGTGGTATGACAGAATTCATTGCTCGATACACAATTTGCTGAAGAAGCAACACGAACTCGCAACGATCTTTAAGCAATCACGAGGTCTATGACCTCGTACTTACTTCACGCGTGCTTACTTTACAATCCTATAACGAACCAGCAATGGCAAATATTTTTAAACAAAAAACTGATAAACAAGTTATTAAATATTTTAAAAAAATGTATAAGTCAATCAGATTATTTTTAACTAATTGTAAGTGCGACAATAAAGATACAAAAAACTAAGAAATGTCCACAATAAAATATAAAGATTCATCATATTTATTTTAAATCATAGCAATTATGAAAATAATATTTGTTCGTACCTTTATAGGTATTGTTTAGTATTATTTATATTTTGTAGATACTTCAATAGTACTAGATATATTAATCGCGATCAAAATGTGCTGAACAGAAAATATAAATACTTCTTTTAACATCTTGTTCACTAATATAAAATGACACATAATCAACTGTTAATTTAGTACAACATTATTTAAATCAAAGGTCTTTAAAAAAAATTTTCCATTGTTTTGCGTAAACATATCCCTTTCCAAATCTTAGGCACTGTGCTTTGATGGGAAATCTGAGCTCTTTCTATATACCAGCATGCACGACAAATGATGGCTCATTTGCAATGAAATGTGTGAGCTTTGCAAAATGAATGTAGTAGGATGTTGTATCAGCAATTTCAGTGCGAGTTCTGAATACGTCTCTCAGAACTTATGCGAAGTGTGACCAAAGACTCTTGTCTTCTCCGACGAGGAGGATGGATCGATCGATCAATGGTATGTGCGTACGAATTATTTCTTTCTTCATAAATTGTCAAGTGCCACACACGCATTCTTCTATATTTTAAAGAATAAGAGAATCATGTGTTTAACAGTCCATCTATACCATAAATATAAAAAATTTCAAGCAATTTGATACGTGCAATTGTTCTTATATATAGAGAATGTAGAAAGATTTTTCTGATGTATAATAATCGGAATTTTTTAAAATAAGACAAATGTAATAACTTGTACTCTTCAATTAATTAAAACACTAATACAAACAATTGAACAATAATTTAATATTATTATATTTTTATATTAAAGACCCTGTCATTAAAAATATCAAAATTATCAGTTTGTAACATTTCTTAAATTTAATATGATTCAAAATTTTCATTACAGGAGTATCGATTTTAAATTAATAATAAATTTACTACGTATTATAATTTGATTTTGTTTAATCTAAAATTTTTGAGTTTATACCAACATATATCCATTAAAGTATATAAGTATACATATTTTATCGATCTTCGATATCAACTTCAATCGGAGTTGAATTTCACGCGGAAGAAGTGTTAACTTTATGATTCAGTGGATGAATTTCTTCGGCAGATGTTCTTGTGCCTGTCATAGGCCAGGTAACGCGATGCCAATGTTGAACATTTCGAATAGAAATCGATCGGCACGTTCTTAAACACGTATTGTTTCCATTCGTTGAGCGATCATTCGCTGCAGTTCGCTTATCGAATTAAGTCACGGCTTTCTCGACATGACCACGAGTTTAATATCATATTCGTGTAATAAACATTTTTTTACATTTCTGTATGTGCTTTTCGTATGTTCATTGAAAGTTTCTACAGTGCCACGAAAACAAACTCAATAGTAATTCAGTATGCACTATTGTAAAAGTAATGAAACATAATTTATTATAATTTTTATTTATGAATTATTCTTAGTTAAAAACTTGGTGTTAAAAACTAGTGATAAAGCTAGACCCAATAAAGGTTCAGAAGCAGGAGGCCAAAAATAGAGATGAAGGTTTTTTTAAAAGGTCCGCCGACGAATACAAGAGTTAGTCGCGAAAATCCATTTACTATTGGTGAACGAGTGAGCCCAGATATTATCGAACTTTTTGTTAGTGTGATCTTCATCTGACTTGCTATGTTGTGAAAATATTGTAGTTTGTTAGCATTGTGTTCCACGATTCCAAAGATGAAAAAATTTTGACGATCGTTGGAAACATTACCAACAAATAATTATCGTGAGTATCCAATTGTGCATATATAATTTTGGACTACTTGTCCAAAGTTTCGTCGTGTGTAGGACACAGCTTTGAGTATTTGAAGAAATACTCCAATAGGTGAAATCGTTCTCAACTTTTCTGAAATAATCTGAAATACTTCTGAAATAGCTGAATTTTCCTCAATTTCTTTTCAGTAATTAAAAGAGAAATATTTTTATGTGTAGAAAAGAAATTGTACAGAATTCATGGATTCGATCGATATCAGCGTTGTGTAAGAGGATTATACTATTGGATGCGATCGTAGCCGGTAAAGTTGTAATGGAAACTTCACCGGGTGATGATTGCATCCAATATCAAATCCCTGTACATCTAACGTTTACAGCTATATGCATATCACTCTGCTAAATATTGTTGTTAGGGTCGAGTATGTGACTGGTACACAAATAAGAAAAAAAATTTGTGACTAGATCATATACTCGTCTTTAATGGCAAGAAATATCACCTGAAGATTCAGTTCACATCTCGTTCATTTATCTTTGGTAATCTAACTATATGTTGTATCGAAATATCATAAAGCTAGATCAGCAAAGGAAAGATGCTCGAGACATAGCAACACGGGATATTGTCGGTGATCACATATCAACGATACAGACACGTTTTTTGCAGGAGTAATTTAATGTTAGTATTACTAATGCATGTGAAATAGTATGTATTTAATAGTATACAGGGTGTCCCAAAATTCGCGCATTCGGAGTACAGGATATGATACTTTATGCTAAAACAAATAACTTTTTTCTTTTGCAAAATTGCGTTTGATAAGTAGTTTTTATCGGACGCAATTTTGCTAAAGGAAAAAGTTGTTTGTTTTAACATAAGATATGTTGTATACTCCGAATGTGTGAATTTTGGGACACCCTGTATATTTATCGAGCTTGTTTTACTGCGGCATTAGTGTATCAGAATGTCTTTATTATAAACTGATGTATAAAAATTGCTGAAGTCTTAAAAAAAAAGTGTTTTTGATTACATTAAATTCACATAAAATTGTAGATTGTCGTGAAAGTAAATAACTTTTAGTCACAGAGTTCAAAAAGACTTTTATTGTGATATATTAATGCAAACTATCATATCACAGTATAAGTTACCTAGTTCTCTGTCGATTATTTTCATTTTTTGATCGTATATTTTTTTCTAGCAAGAGAGTACCACGCAAGCTTTTTAGAAAAAAAATAGGATCAAATTCATTTTAGCGCTAACTGGCAAAACAGAAGTACAGCATGAGATGGATATAATCCAGTTTGACATACATTTTACAGTCACTGGGTTATATTCGTCCCTTGTATGTACTAAATAATCATCTTTCTTAGAGCGCTTATATTAGCATTCTAGATTTACCATATTGTTACTCTATGTGTACGTATTGTCGATATAATTAATATTATTATTTATTTTATTAAGTAACAAAATATGGATGGACTACAGCAGATGAAATAGATTTGCTTGTGTGTACAATCTATTTCATACGGAAATGTTTAAGAGCCACCAACCTTGTTTACGAGGCAATTTCTGAAGTCTATTTGCATGTCGGATACTGAAACTCTATCATGAGGTCTTTTAGGTCCGCTGACACTTGAAACTACAGTGCTCAAATCCAAAGTGACCACCTCGGAAAAGATTGGATCTTGGCTCGGGTCATCATAATTCCTTAACATGCGTACGTTTTTAAGATATTTCTCAATCTTATCAATGTGTTCCTCAGATCGACCTAGATAATATAGAAAAGAATATATTTATATATTACATAAAATATTACATAAAAAGCCATCATATTGTAAAAAATATTTATAAAAATATATAATTACTGATAGAGAAAATTTTACCTGTTTGCTTGAGATATGCTAAACTTTGTTGATCCACTGCGAAAAAGCCTACGGTTGCACCGTATTCCGGGCACATATTAGAAATGGTAGCACGATCCGCGATACTTAGCTGCGTTACGCCTGGTCCAAAGAATTCGACAAATTTTCCAACCACTCCGACTTGTCGAAGATTCTGCAAATGTATAAAATATTATAAGTTTATAAGATTATATAACTGATACTTATTAATAATATTATATATAAAATATATAGTATATTCCATTATATATAAACTTTATCCATTAAGAAATAAATAAAATTGTATTTATAAAAACATATGAAACATTTAATATTACAGTAAAAATATCTCTAAAAAGCTTCTATATTTTTACTAAGCCTGCCCGGAAAATTCTTACCTTTGTAATAGTTAAAACAAGATCAGTAGACGTGGCATATTGATTCAATACACTTTCTAATTTATATCCTACAACTTTTGGTATTAACATAGAAATTGCTTGACCAAGCATAACAGCTTCTGCTTCAATACCTCCAACTCCCCATCCAAGTACACCCAGACCATTGACCATGGTAGTATGAGAATCAGTACCAACTACACTGTCAGGATATAGAAGATTGTTGGAGTCAAATACCACTCTTGCCAAGTATTCTAAATTTACTTGATGCACGATACCGCTTCCGGGAGGAACAATTAACATATTTTTAAATGCCTTTGCACCCCATTTAAGAAACATGAAGCGTTCTTTATTTCTCTCAAATTCGAGTTCTTCATTCTTTTTTATGGCATCATTGCTGAAACATGCATAGTAATAAGATTTATATAAACCAGATTATAGGCAATATAACACAAAAATAAAAAAAAGATTCTTGAATTTTTCTTATTTATATCTCTTCTCACAATATTATCAAGCATATTATGTAAAACTTTTTCTTTTCTTGTAACATTTCAGCAATATTAGAGCTTCCAGATTACTTTTTATTAGCTTATGATAACCTTTAACTCTCCATTATTAAAAAAAAATCAAAACATACTTGATAAAGCATACTTAATGAACCATACCTTCTAGTAAAATCAGCCTGTATTGAATGATCGATTACAAGGTCTGATGGACAGACTGGATTAATTTTATTAGGATCGCCACCAAGTTTCTTTACAGCATCTCTCATTGCTGCAAAATCCACGACTGCCGGTACTCCAGTAAAATCCTGTTTGTAATTGAATAAACAGCAATAAGTATATTTTTTGCACATGATTAAACTCAATAAAATATGGAAATTTTGGAGGCACTTCTTTACCTGTAATATGACTCTCGCAGGCTTAAAAGCCACTTCGACTCCATCTTGAAGGGATTGATTATTTTCCCAATCCAAAATTTTCTCAACATCCAGTTTTGTTACTTGAAAATTGTCGCAATTACGGACAGCACTTTCCAAGAGAACTCGGATGGAAAATGGTAATCTGTCTGTAAGACCGATATATACTAATAATATTTATTCATTAGATGTGAAATAAGACAAAAAACTTACCATATTTTGTGCCTAAACTGCCAACATCATAATACTGACAATCTTTCAATCCAATTTTAATGGATTTTAATAGATTCTTGTAAGGATTTATCTCTGAAATAAAAAAAAATTATATAAAGTTTATTTTTATCACAAGTTAAAAAAATGTATGACACAAAATATATTATTTTTAGATTTTTATTACGATACCGTTAAAATAAAAAAATTATAAAATTTAATAGCGTCAGAAAGCAAAATTAAATTATTCCAATTTAATTTCTATTAATATATTTTCTTTCCCTTTAAATTTAATTAATGTATTCCCAATTATAAAAATATATAAATAAATATTTAGGAGACTACAGTTGCATCTTCGAATTTTAAAGTTTGTGTCTTTTCTTACATATTGCAACTTTTGACATTAATTAAAATATCTGCCTAAATTCGTGTTACAGTGAATATATATAAGAAACTTTTTAATATTTTATGGTACTCTTCGCGTTTATATATAAACGTATTAATATATAACTCTATAAAAATAAGTATTTTTTAAACTATAAATGTTTTATTTTTTTATATGTTGCAACTTTCAGCCTCACTTAGAACACCCATGAATTTTAATTCCTTTAAGTTCGAATATTATTATGGAATATGCGAATTAATATTTTTCACTGGAATAAATTGATCTAATGCAACGAATTAACGATAGTAAATCCGTTGTCTTCACTTGTTTACATTTCATTTTTTAACAAAATAATGCCAACAAACAAGTACACATCTCTCCACTTACCAGCCATGATTGTCACTGAACAAGTCACGTCGGCCCCATTGCACGATACGTATATAGCGCTTATATGGCTTATACCGAGTGTCCCAAAAACACCGATATTCGCAATATACGATTTCCTTAACAATTTTTCGTCAACACGATCACCGCACGTCGCGCAAACGCGGAGCGATTTTGTGAATGAATCATTTTGCTTTTCAAATCGAAATCATCAGGTACTAAAAGCGCGAAAACAAAAAGAAAAGAACGGAATGAAATACAAGTTTCATCAGGTTGCGTAATGTACCTTTCCCAAGTTAATTCGCATAATTCCCTCAATTACGACGGAGAGGAAGGGCAAAGTTCAGTTACCGCGTAATGAGATCGTTAAGCGACGCTGGGTACATCGATCACGTGGTACGTACATGTGCGCAAATACGCACGTGTACGTGGCGCGATGTATCGCGAGACGCGAATATCGCGATCTGTCATGCCACCAGTCACACACCGTCACACCAACGAACCGACGTAGGCAGCAGACTTCAACCAGTATTTGTCAATATTTGCGTGATAACCAGATAATATAGTCATCGACTCTCCCTTCGACATCGGATTAATTTCAAGGAAACTTCACAAATCTCGCGTGTCGATTGGTTTTGCGAGCGTTGCGCGAGACTCGAGGTCCGAGGATGGAACGAAACTTAGTGAAAACATTGGATGACACGTAAGCGTTATGGGGCATATAGGTTAGGAAATCTTCCTCGGTATTGTAAGATATTTACTATAGTAAATATATCTATAGATATAGACACAACAGAGAGACCACTAGTGTCAGGGCTGTGTAGCTCAGCGTCAAAGTCTACCAACTCGGAGCAGAGACCAGGGTACCTATCATAGAACAAGTCGGAATCGATTCCGATCGGAATTATTCAATTATTTCCTAGATTTCTATTGTGTTTTTTTTTTAGGGAAAACGGAATAATTCCGATCGGAATCCATTCCAACATATTTCATGATAGGTACCCAGGCCTGGGATCAAGAAGAGGAGCGCTCTGATATTTTTCTCTGTTGTCAATTGTTTACAGTATAAGATTTTGAACATTTTTGAATTTCTATCCTATAATAAATATTATTATATTGTGAATGTTACTTAAGCTCGGTTTTTTGTTTTTTTTGTGATATAAAAATTGTATTTTTCTAGCTATGGTTACGGTAGTGAGTAAAATTATCACTACAAAACGATCAGTTTAGTGATTAATGATAGTTATAAATGCACAATTTTTACATTGTTATTATTATAAATGAGTCTAAATACAAGTTAATGAAAAACTAAGCGTTAATATTTAATACATTTGTGTGTCCATCTTTGTTTTCTTTACATTAGTTATTAATCAGTCTTGTATATTTATCCAGTAAAGTTATTATTGTACCCTATAGGCATGATAAGGAAGGAATCATTGGCTGTATTTTGGCTGATCACGCTGGTCTCTGTCTTGGAGGTAATAAATCGTCAAAGATCCAAATAAAAAAATCATAGATATTATGAAAAGATTTCAAACATTTGTACGACAAAACCTGTATAAAGTTGTAAACTTTTGTAGTTAAGGGCGATGCATCGAGTGACAGTGCTGGATTGATAGCGGCCATAGCAGATCTAGTTGCAAAATTGGAACCAAAATCTGGATCACCAATTATATCGCTTCAAAATGATAACAAGTAAGCCAAATAACAATTTTGCGACATTTCTAAATCTAAAATGGAAACTTGCTTGAATTTCAGGCAGTGTATTATACTTCGTAAGGAACCTGTAGTTGGTGCTATATATAAAGATATCGACTTGAAGTAATCACTATTGTACAAGTGTGGCTGAAATTTATAATATTTATATCCAAATGCAATCTTTTTTTACAAAAATATTTAACTATTAAGTATATGCGCAAATTGTTAATAAAAAGAAATTTAATAGGTAAGATATGTGGCTCTCTCTCATTATGTAAGGATTTATAGTTAATTTCAACTAGTTGTACAAAAATTATTTATATATATATATATGTGATCTTTTAACATTTTACAAAATCTTACAATGAAGCTGTAGTTGATTTATATATTAAATAAAATAATTTATATTACACGAGGATTTAGGTTCAGTCGCTCTTTTTCTGTTTATTTCTTTCATACCATTTGCTTGTTGCAAGCTGGATTAATTCGTAATTTTCATATAGCCAAGACATAAGTACAATCATAAACATTATTAAGCCAACTAATAGGTGCAATATTTTTTCACTTGGGAAGAAGTAAGTCTGAAATAATGGAAAAGATTACTTTACCGCTATGCGATTTTGGCGTATATACATATAAAATTACATCATGGATACTTTACGTGTGATAAATTAGTGGCGAACGCTGCGACGAGTAGACATGTGGAGAACATGGGCTTTGGTACTAGTCCGCGTAATGGACGATGGACTGTGTCTTGGTGTCTCTTATTAATGAATATCACCGAATGTATGATTCTCAAACTCATGTTCACGCAGTTTCCGAGAACAAAGCCGACCGGACCAAACCAGGTAGCAAACAGATACGATGCGCCCAAGAATGTGATCGACTGGTAGACCATGATCAAGTTGCTCTTGTTTATGGTCGCATTATCGGCTGTTGCGTTAGTGTAGCATTCGGTTACGCCATTGATTCCTAACAGTAACACGGCGAGGCAATGTGCTCTTAGCAATAGAACAGGTAAGGGTAAAATCAACTTTGAGCCACCATACAACCAGAGCAAGAGGCTCGAATAAGACTGACCGAATACTAGAACAATCAAACCGATATATGTAACAACAGAACACAAATGTGTCAACACATTCACACTCTCTTGTACTTTCACCTGAAAATATCATAGTTTATAAATAGGTACATAAAATTTTATGGTAAACATGGAAGGGTATAATAGACGCTCACTGGATTCTGATCAGAGATCGTTTTATCCCTTTTCACCATCTGTGTGAAATAAAAATAACCACTATCTTCGATTGGACGGAAAATAAATCTAGCAGCTAGCGAACCCATATTATTCACTATCTCGTAGACTCCCTTAAAGAAAGAAAAAATGAACATCTAATGACGACATCGGAGTATACGTAAGTGTCCTAAAATTCGCGAATTATAATATTACAATAAAAAAGGTCTTAAAAAATAAAGAAAGTTATTTGTAAATTCTTATTTTAAGCAGTAATTTTTTTTTAGATAAGAGTTTAAATATAGCTAATTACAGATTATGTTTAAACAGTCACCTGACCATGAGTCGTGCACACCATATTGTAGTGTTTGTGAGTATTAGCAAGCACGTACTTCAGCACGCTCATTAATACTACGTACACTCAATATAGCACGTGCGAGCAAATGGCCTTTAAACGTAATCTAATTGACCATACTTGAACCATTATTATTTCAAAAATTACTGTTAAAAATCAAAATTTATGAATAACTTTTTTATTTAACTTTTCGAAAACTTTCTTGCTACAGTATTTTGATTACGAATTTGGGAAATATTCTGTATATTGACACAAACCTGTTCTGTAAACGTTAATACTGGCATTATAGTCATGATCAATCTTTCGCCTTCCGTCAAAATCTGCTTTAGGATTCCTTGCCTAAAGAAGCTCCACGTGAGATTAGTCAACTTTGTATCAAAGTACGAATCCTACGGAGTAACTGTTATATTTTTCTTACAAAATGATAATGTAACAATGCAATTATAATACGTACATTATTTTCTAGCTGACAAGGTAAAAAATCTTCTATAGTATGAAAGGGAAACTCCCTTAACACATATTCGTCGCTGTTATCTTTCAAAGACATTTTTCGTTTCTGTGAGCACTTGTTCAGTTTCTTGATATGATAATGAAAATATGCATAATAACTAGTTGTGTAAAATATTGCCGCAACAAGTTGAGCGATACCGAATGCAAGTAATGCGTTCTCAGGATAATACAATATTAGTGGGACAAACGTCATAGTACGAATGACGATCATGATCGTATCCAGAATTATCTGGAAGAACAAAGATAGCAGTGAAATATTCATTTCTTGAAAATCTCATATATTTTTTGTCTCTGTTGCCTTACTTTAAGCCTAACGAAGAGAAATGCGTTTGCGACCAATTGAACGACTAAGGAAGACAGTTCTATAACACATGACAGTCCAACTGCCCAAACTGCAAACGTGTAGTATGATGGTAATATCTCTGTGGTGGAGAGCAAGAACAACCAAGTATATCCAAATAGAAAGGACATTACAATGCATATAGGTACTCTAAAACACATTAATTAATCCATACAATTTTGTTCAAAGAGAACAATCGAGTCTCTCAAAAGACAAACTGATCGATTCTATATTTTTCTATAATTTCTTAATTTCAATAGCATGACTAGTTTTACAACTTCATCAGTTTTTATATGCTTCTTATTTCATGGGGCTGATCAGTATAGTTTCTGAGATGATCAATTATCATGTAACTAAAGAACTAACGTCAGCCACAGTAGATTTATAACTTGGGCCCAGTTATGATCCGCCGTGTTAGTCAGACATGCTTTCACAAATGGCTCGCGTGATAAGAACAGTATCATTGATTCCAGTAAGAGTAATCTCACATTAATGACGCCTAGGATTGCCTGGCCCACGTGACGAACAACAAATGCGTTCAGAACAAATGTAATGCAGCGACAGAATATCTGTGGAAGAAGAGTTTTTCTAAAATTTTGTATGACATAGTATTTATCAATACAGAAGCAGTGCCTCTAATCAGTACTCTTAGATTAAAACGAATGCTTCAAAATACTCGGATTGTTTGCAAAAAAAACTGCTATACCGATTTTATCAACATACCTGAAATACAATGCTAAACGAGGCATTCTCCAAGCTGCTCTTCAGGATATTCGGCGGCATTTTCAGATCGATTCGACAGAAGCATGTGTGTGAATATTTCGAGATTCCCGCCGGGAGATGTAGAGAAACATTAACGTAGCCCTCTCTCCTAGGTTAAGTAAGGTTATGTGAGAGAACTACGATCTATTACAATCACAGGGACAACCAGGATAACGTTCGTCAATCATCTCCTCGGTTTCGTATGTATTACCGAGCCTTTTGTTTGCATAAGATCGATTCTGTCACAGCGAAAAAAGGAAGTGATAACCGTAATTAGCGTGATAACATTTCGTGATCGTGATGTAAGTACGTCGAAATGCGTGGCAATACAGACGATACAGCCGCAGACGTAGACCGCGTAGACAAGACAGATCACAAGACAGACGTTATGGGTTATAGATATTTACACGATACTATTGTTCGCTGCGGAGAGAAGCGTCGTGCAAAAACTGAGTAAACTGATCTTGTCGCCGATTAAAGATGACGACTAAAATTCGACTAATTGTAAACTTCGATTAATTTAATCAGCGATTAACCCTTACCGTACCATCTACAATTTGGTGCCTCATTCATAACATCAAGGGTCACTTCAAATCTCTTCGTTTTTTCACCTCTTCAAAATAATTTAAAAAATCTCTAAAAATTCACCAACATACTTTCAACTTTCTAGAATAAATATTGACTCTTTATTTTGGAAAATAAATAAAATGTAGTATAATTTATAATTACCGAAAGACTCAAAGAAACTTACACGAACAGGAATCGCTCGGTCACTATATAGTTACCCATATTAATACGGTAAGGGTTAATTATTGTTGATCATAACTCATAACTATTTTGTTGATATAGATTTATTAATTAGAGAAACAAGGAATTATATGCAGGTTGTATTTGAATAAGTATCCAATTTTTTATCGATGTAAATATATATCTCCAAACATTAAGAAGAGTTCAAATACAGGTGGTCTGTTTTCTGTTGCTGTACTAGAACTCTCTTTGATTCTCTTTCTCAACTTTCTCGCTTTCGACAAATATCAAACGTATACCTTTCTCACTTTAAGTTCGAAAAGTGCACACTAATTCAACTACAGAAACAAACCTATGGATTTAAGCCTATTCTACAATGTGCTCTTTGTTTCTTGTTTCTTGCTTTTTTCCCTTTTACAACCGTTTTATCGACAATTGTATTTCTTGCTACGTATTTCTTGTTTCTTTCGAAGTTCGTTAACTTTTATCTCGGGCGGCATAAAACAAAAAACCGGATATGGCCCGATTGCACCAACTTACTTTGATTTTAAATGAGGCTTCTTTCTGTCTCTGTTTCTTTTTGGCTTTAAAACGAGACAGATAGAGTTTTAAGTCTCGCTTAAAGTCAAAGTGACATTGATGCAATTGGGTCTAAGAAGCAAAAAAGACAAGATGTAAAAAATAGCAAAAAGCAAGAAACAGAAAACAAAAAGCACATTGTAGAATAGGCTTTAGAAACGCTTATGATGAATTCAATCGCATTGGATCAGTGCATATTAAAAGCTGAGTCATATATAAAATATCTCAATGCAGTGAACAATACAATCATCTTTAATGATGAAATGATACATGATATATTTTAATTGTTAAATAACGTGACAATATCATTAGTAATATTGTTAATTGTTCAAAATATTTATAACTTTGCTAATTTCATGCAAAGCAGCTTTTATTACATAGTATGCACTGATCTAGTGCAAGTGACTGAATTCGCTATTAGTTTCTGAGATAGGATTTTTAAAATAATTACTTAACAATATCAAATAATTAATAGAAAAGTAATAGAAAACAAGATAAAATTTAACACAAAATAAACCAAAATATGTGTTTTATAGATTTAAAAGAATCAAAATAAAATTTAAGAGAAATAAATTAAAAGGTTTTGTTTATAATTTATATAAATGTTTTTAAATGTTGGTCGATGGGATATGTGTCTATTTGACACTTTATTTAAATACATCTTGTATAGTTAGAAATATTATTTTAAATAATTCTGTTAGTTATTGAGAGAATTACAATTATTGCAGATTAACTGAAATTTGACCGCTGTTAATGATTACAACATTAATGTTCGTTATTTTTAGTTTATGTCGACCTTTCCTGAATTGATGTCCAGGGATAGGATAAAAAAATATTTTCGAAAAGAATTATTAATGAATAAATTCAATAAATTGAAGTGTATTTTACATAACTTGCTTTTTGTGACGATCATTAGATTAATGCTTTATTTCCGCCAATGTAAATTAATTATTTCGGTTCTCATTAACTTATTTTTTTCATTTTTTTCCTAGCTTTAAAAGTTAGAAAAAGATGAAGAATAAGTTAAACCGAGATTAACGTTAATCTATATATATGTGTGTGTGTGTGTGTGTGTGTGTGTGTGTGTGTGTGTGTGTGCGCGCGCGCGTGCGTGTGTGTGTGTGTGATTTCAATTAAATCTCAGGTAAACGTACGATTATCTTTTATCTGAATTATATTCTGTTATTTTTGTCTTTGAGTATTATTATCTTCGTATGAACGATCACGTAACATGAACGTGTCATGCTGATGATTTTTATAATTTCATCCGCAACGATATTAACATCGAGAATTAATGTTACGAGTCATTGCATTGTTATAAACTTGCCGAACATTTAAAAAAAAAAAAATTATCTTATAAACGCGTTTTTGCTTGCTTTTCGTCTTCTTATAGGTAACTTTTTTTTTTACCGTTCAAAGTCCAGGCATATGATTTATTACTTTGCCACAAAAAAGAGAGGGGGGGGGGAAGGCGCTAGAGAGAGTTCGAGAAAGTACAATAGAATATTTAAATGAACGGCATCACGATTCACTAATGTGACGGTTGAGCAATTTATGTTTATATCGCTTGAAAACCGATTAGTGTTTAAAATCCGAGTAGTAAATTGCTAATGTGAACGATCTTTTGCAACAGGATTACGTAAAACAGGAAATGATTTTGCGACGAAGGATGGTAGAATCACAAACATTAAAAAGCTTATCTCACGGAATCTCACAGAAATGAAACGTGTACGTGTCGCAGTGACAGAAAAACAAAGTGATATTGATGTGATATAAAGCGATAAGAATGCGGTCCAGTCCAGAAATCGGTACGTGGTATAGGATAGACAATTATATACAAAAAAAGTTTGTTAGTAAAATAAAAAATTTACAAGAAATATTTAATTACAACTTAGAAGAATAATTTTTCTTGATTCGTAAAATACTTTTATCACATAAACGTTATACACACTTTGGGTAATAATAAAAAATTAATTTTGCATGTGTGTTGTTGTAGTTTAAACACTTTTTTAATTTCCGTGAGAAAATTACGAACAAGTGTCAATGAATGATGCAAGAATGGGAACATATTTTAAAAGAGAGATTTATAAATGAAAAAGAGGAGTATTTTTTAAATTCGATTTTTGGCAAAAAATGTATGGCAAGAATGTACCTACACGAATACTCATACATATGCCATACGCAGATGTTAATGCCAAGCGTCAACCTTTTGTATTACCAAGAAAAAAATGACAAAAAAAACAATGTTCTCAGGAAAAGACATCAATAAAATTTCGAAAGGAAGATATAACTTTCATTCTTTTTTGTGACCGTTAGAGGACCAACTCTCTGAATTAGTTTTTAAATGATTAAAGCTTGAAGCATAACTGACAACAATATTTCGTTACGATAGGAATAAGGATTTTCTTTATTTTAATGTTTTTCTTAGGTGTCATTGTTATGATAATTTTCGGTTTCTCTGAAGAAAAAAATACAAGAAAAAATGTAGGAATAATACAACCATTCCCAAACGGTCGCAAAAAGGTTGTACCCTCCTTTCCTGTGTATACAATTCCATGAAATTCCTTTCTTTTCAAGGATAAAAAGAAATTCTCTGAAAATTACATTCTAGGTTTTTCAGGTAGTAAACTCTGAACTGGTCAAAGAGGAAGGAAACTGCACGAGAACGTTAACAAGGACGGATGTTCATTTTAGAAAAGGAAAGAAAGAGTCAACGGGCGATCAGCTGATCGCCACCGCGCTGTTCCTACAATTTTGCCATGGCACGTGATATTTTTTCGACGGTCCGAAGCAATCGTGATGTCAGGTAATAAGAAAGATGTCCCACAGAACATCACAGAAGAAAATGACACTCTCGAGTTAACGGATGTTCCTTAATAGTGAATTTAAGAGAATTTAATAGTGCATTGAGAAGTGTATATCAAGAGGTTCTGCCGTGACACAAAAGGCATAAACGTCGTATACAAGCGATTGAGATTAGTAAGACATCACGTTAATGGATTAAAAATATTTTATCGAGCAAGTTTAGTTCGGGCAAGATCACATGGTACATTTTTACATTTAACATAAGATTATTTCATGTATGGCGGCCTTTACAGTTTATCGAGATGGTGCGCGCTCGGCAAGGTCGAATTTGCTATACGTGCGACCGCGAACGCAGTGTTTCCTCATAGTAGCATTTCCGTCGACGTCCCGTTCATTGTACAGTTATTGCCGGGGTATTATTTAGACAGCACTGAGGTGCTGTAGTCAGTGTAGTCGTTCACTCATTGCGGTCAACTCGCAAGTCGCAGGTCGTGGTCAGTCCGGTCAGTCGTGATCAGTCGGACGGTGCGAACGGAACGGAAGGGAGCGTCCGGGTCGTGGTGTGTATTAACTTGTGCCGTTCTCGATGGTTCTCGATGCTTTCGCGTAAATCTGATGAGTAAGTGTCACGCCACCGTCGTTCGATCGCTCCTCATGGCGAGTTCTCGCGTCGCTAAACGCGATTTCTCGGCTCGACGTGACGTCCTATATGACGTTTGACGTCGGGGTGACGACACGACTGACGGTCGTCAACAGAGCATCGTAAAGTAGTTGGTGCATTACATTGAGTGCATTCAGCGGACTCAACAGTTGAATGAGCGTTCGCTGTTATTGGTATATTCTTTTAGATCATCCAATCAAAATTTTAGATCTAGAAGAATACATCAATAGCAGCGAGCGCTCACTCAACTGTTGAGTCTGCTGAACGCAGCCAATCTTCTTTTGAAGATGCTTGTCGCAACGAGCGTCTTGAGAATCTTGTCAATGTGTTGTAAGATGCTGCTGACAATAGCTCCGCGAACATTAAGGGTAGTTGACACGATTTGCAAAAGGAGAGGAGCAATGTCATGATAGAAGATTGATCGCTTGGATAATTAATTATTTATCGTACGAGTTTACGTAACGTATTACGTTACGAGTTAACGCGCGTCTATGCTTATCATTTGAATATACATTGAGAGCAAAAAGTATTCGTACAAGGAAATTTTTTATAAAAAAAATCTTATTTGTAGAAAATAAACATTAATTAGCAATTTTATACAATGAATACATTCTGTTCTAACATATACAAATGAGCTTCGCATGTATTTCTGATATTACAAGTTAAATTTCTCGACTCGTACGAATACTTTTTGAACATCCAAATAATGGAACTTTTAATTTTCACTTATTTTTCAGATATATTTTCTATAATTAATACACATCTTTTTGGTATATATAATTTTAAGAAATATACAGTCTATTTTATACTTTATGAGTTACTACTTTATAAATTGTTAATTATCCAGTAAGAAATGATCATCAATTAAACGTCGAACATTAAATTGGTATTGAAATCATCGTATCGATATCGATTCGATGACTCATTTTTCGCTGAATAATATTTAATTTAAAAAAATAAAGTTTTTTTAAACAATATTTTCTCTGTACGAACACTTTTTGTATTTACTGTAGCTATAATGAATGTTTAGAAGGGCGCTTTCATACGCGCGCGTGTAATCAAAACTTAATTTCAAACGTTTAGCACGGTTAATCTACTTGTTGCTTTGATATTGTAATGTTTCAACAGAAACTTTATTTATATATTGTTATTGAGGTATTATTTACAATATAATTATTACTTTCGAGATTTTGTTTCAAGAAAATAGAGTTGTTACGTAGAATTGCAAATTAAATAAGAAAAAGATTTTATTTAAGAATTTTTATTTTCCATCAAAGCGGATCTTGGTGCTTGATATATGCAAATTTGTACAAATATATTTTTAAACAAAATATATATAATAAATAATAACAAATGACTAATGATAAAAAAAACCAGTTAAATTTGTATTTAATTTAATCCCAATAAGTATATATATAGTGTAAAAGCAGATTACAATAAAACGATTTAAAAAATGGATAAAAATGTGCATATATCATGAACTTGTGTGACGTTACTTATGTAAATATATTCCTGCGTTTCGTGTCACGTGTATTTCACATTGTGTGCGCAAATGAAAAAGATGATCTTTGACTTTTGGAAATAATTCTTTGCATCTAAACGGTTTAAAGTTTTAAATGCTCTCCACATTTGGATTATGAAAAAAAATTATTGATTATTAAAAGAAAAATATGAATTATATTTGCATAATGTTTTCAACATAATATCATAAAGATAGACACATGAGATATTTTTTGTTTGAAGCAGTACTTATAAAATTGTTTTTAAATGTATGTATCTTTTTCAGCGAATACATTATTTATCATAACAGAGGGATCTGCAGTGAACTATTCTATTCTGAGCAATGAGTCCGCAAAGCCATAAGAACAATTTAACTCCAAAAGACATGCAGTCTAACGGATACTCTGCTGCCAATACCATGGCCAAAGAAGCAAGAAATCATTCATCTCCTTGTGAGTCAGTGGATTGTATGTGTGCTTAGATTGCCAATTTTTTACTTTTTATTATATACTATGTTATTTGCTGCATCGTTTGCAAATGTGTTTGGTATTTTATATTTTGCGTCATAATTATAATTTTTTCAAATTTTTGCATATGAAAATGAAATGATTGACTATATCAGGCCTGTCCAATTTGAGTTCCGGAGCCAAAACGCAAAGCCATCGACGCAAAAAAAATTCAATGTAAGATTCCATGGACTATAAAGTATTGATGAGTGTCGCTCAGACTCGTATCAATACTTTACAGTTTCCGAAATCTTATCCATATTGATTTTTTTGCATCGATGGTTTTGCGTTTTGGCTCCGGAGCTCAAATTGGATACGCCCGGACTATATAATATAAATAACTAAGCAATGATCTAAATCAATTCAAACTGACGAGTGTAGTGTCCACGCGATACATTATTTAGTGTATATACCCGCAATATTTTTAATGCTTTATATTATATAACTATTTGCAAATATAATTATATCGATAATTTAATCTTTATTCAAATTTATTTTAATAAAAAAAAGGCTGACTATTAATTATTATCAGTATATTAGTTCATTTTATTATCAACTTTTAGTTAAAAACAGAAGTCGAAACTGATAAAACTGTGAATATTATATCTGGAAAAGACTATATATGTATAAACTGGAAATGCTAATATTGTGTCTACTATTATTGTCTGTATCTATACCGTGTCTAATATTATGAATATTATACTTGAATGATTATATGCGCATTTTTTGGGAATACTGCGTCTATATACTGTAGCTAACACTACGAAGAGTTATATACGATAATTATTTTATCGCATGAATATCTACACTTACCGGCTTGTACTGGCTTGAACATCGCTGCTTAGTTTTCTCTAAAGTATCAAATGTTGAATTTTGTCAAGCTAAATAATAACAAAGTAAATGATGCTTGCGACAAAAATGTTATCTTTAATTCGTTTGATTGTCATTTAAAAGAATATTTGTAATTAGATAATTCTTTCTTACTGTATATATATTTTTAAATTTTACTACATTTTTTTGCATGACATGGCATTATTAATATAATCACATTAAAAAAAATTTAATCTCACCATTTTTGCAAAATTGTGCTTTTTTTATTTTCTAGTGGTTACTGATTTTTTTTATAATCATGTATTTTTAATATATTTTTGCACAAATTACAAGATAAAATACTAATCGTAAAATATTAATCATATTATTGTTACAGCAATGCCTTGGTTTGGAATGGACATAGGTGGTACATTATGCAAATTAGTGTATTTTGAGCCGAAGGATATAACGAGAGATGAAGCAGACGCAGAAGTTGAGATATTGAAAAATATTCGTCGATATCTCACTAAAAATTCGGCATATGGAAAAACTGGCCATCGTGATACGCATTTACAAGTAAACATTATTAAATATTTCACTTGTTCTTTCTACAATTTATTAATTATATAAACCTGTTGATAATTAATTTGATTGTTTCAGATGGATAACATCTGTATTAGAGGCAGACGAGGAACCTTACATTTTATTAGATTTCCTACAAGTGAAATGGGAAATTTTTTAGCATTAGCAAAATCAAAAGGTATGGCAAATCTTGTGACTACTGTTTGTGCCACTGGGGGTGGTGCTTTTAAATTCGAAGATAATTTTAAAAAGGTTTGGAAAATTATCGATCTTTGCCTTTGGCTTGTTGTAATTAGGTTTGTTCAATTTGCTTACACTTTTTACACTCAGAATCTTCGCTTTCTCTCTTTTCAGCGCCAAATATGTATCTATCTCATTTTAAGTGTAAAAAGTGTAAAGAAGTGTAAGCAAGTTGAACAGACCAAATTGTAACATGATAATTATTAAAATAATGAAATATCTTTGGCAGGAAGTAAACATGAATTTGGCAAAATTTGATGAATTAGATAGTTTAATACGCGGGATGCTCTACATAGAAACTACGAATCCACATGAATGCTATTATTGGTCGAATCCCACCGATGACAGCAAATGCCAAAAAGTACCCTATGACTTTTCTGAACCATATCCTTTCTTGGTAAGAGTATATAACAATATTTTTTTATTGTGCGCTTTTAATTGGTGGAATTGCTGATTGATTATTTTCTGCAGCTCGTTAATATAGGCTCCGGAGTAAGCATACTAGCTGTATATGGACAAGAAAATTTTAAAAGGATATCTGGAACAAGGTAAATTGCGTGTATGTTGTATTTTGTAGTTGTAAGATATTTATTATCAAGTAATATCAGTACATTTTTAATTATAGCTTAGGTGGTGGTACATTCTTGGGATTATGCTGTCTTCTTACTGGATGTAACACCTTTGAAGAAGCAATAGAACTAGCGACAGGCGGCGATAATACAAGAGTGGATAAATTGGTTAAGGATATATACGGTGGTGATTATGGTCCTTTCGGTCTTCCTGGAGATTTAGTTGCGAGCAGGTATGTACAATTGTAAAGCAGTTATTAATTCCTATTCTAAGATGTAATTTCTTTATTTTGATTCTTATTTTGTATCCCTTTTTTTATTGTTTTTAGTTTTGGACAAATGAATTCCAAAGATCGTAGAAATACTGTCACAAAGGAAGATCTGGCGCGTGCAACTCTTGTTACTATCACAAATAATATTGGTTCTATCGCGCGTATGTGTGCTGTTAATGAAAAAATTGAAAGGGTAATAAAAATATAGAATTTGTTATATATATTATAAAATAGTCACGTATAACAATTTTTGTTTTTAGGTTGTATTTGTAGGAAATTTTCTCAGAGTAAATCCCATATCAATGAAATTGTTGGCCTATGCTATGGATTATTGGTCTAAAGGAACTTTGAAAGCCCTGTTTTTGGAACATGAAGTAAAAATCTAACTGAAAGTTCATATTTAAAAATGTCATTCAGATATCATAGGATATTATATCTTGATTTCAGGGTTATTTCGGAGCGGTGGGATGTCTATTACAATTTAATGGCGAATCGAGCTAAACAATGGGGAAATAGTCATATAACATAGCATTCCATATGACCAACTTCGTAGAACATTTCTCGAGTGAGCAAGATTATTCGACATAATTATATTTATTTTTGTTACATTTTTTCAATTCATGAATCTACAATTTATTGAGTAATCATTTATATTAATATGGAAAGCCTTGATATTTATGTAGTAGGATTAAGGGTATATTTGTCAAGTGTCATTGTATAATTTATCACTATTTTAATGTAGGAAAAAATAATTGTCAAAATATTTTTAATTTTGGTCGGAGGGTAGTTATTTTGCTATAATTGTTTGATTACGAGCACAAATCTAACTCGGCAAATAGAATCTATAATGGACCAAATCCAATAGGATTAAGGATAGTCTCTTCTTCCGATGTTTGTTACATGCCGCATAGACTAGTTCTACCTCATAATTTATATTGTAAAGTTTTTCTACAAATGTGCACACAGATTTTTATGTATATAGGTAATATGGCAATCATTATTACACTTACACATCTTTTCTCTTCGTAAGTTTATAATCGAATAAAACCATTGGGTAGCGGTAAATACTTTCGCACTGATTGTTAATATTAGTAATTATTTTGTTGTTAATGCATTGCACATTACAAGGTGAACCTTTTAAAATAAATTTTTAATTGAATATTAATACAACTTTTCTATGAAACATTATTCATGCGCTTCTGATAGTTGCATAAATTACGAATTTTTTATACCGCTCCAGTAAAATCACGATTTATAATAAAAAAATATACGCTTCCGTCAGGATAATGATATGATACAATACATATTGGAAGTTGTCGAAGCCCGCAGCTAACGCTAAATATTCACAGAAAGTTCGATTCGTATTATCAATGTACCGAATGTTCCGGAACAGTAAAAAAATCTTCATAGAATGTGCAAATGTCGATGAAATGTTCAGAATATCGTGTGAATACTTTTTATATATTTCATGAAAATCGTGAGTGAGCGAGCAGTGCACATACTCGCCGACAGAGGGCCGCGGTGAAGAGCATTTATTCGTAAACAAGAATCACAAGAAGCGCAACACTTCGTCTACGAAGAGAGCCCTGAAATTGGACTCCGAGGTGAAAACACATTAAATGTGTTTTCTAAAGTAAAATTTTGTTTAAAAACTGATTCACGGACGACCTAAACTGGAATTTTTGAAAAAATTAAAATTTTGTGGAATATACATATATGGAATATTCTCGAAATATATAATGACATGCAAATGAAATTTTTAACAGACATTTGAATGTTTCTTTTACATACCATAAATACTATTCGGAATATTTTGGAGAATATTTTGGATTCTCTCTCTTGGAATGCTTTTTGGGGATTTTATGAACATTTTATGAATATTTAGCGTTTGTCAGGAGATGTGTCAAACATTAAATCTTGTTTTTGAGAAATATGTGGTGTAATGTGAATGAATGAAAAATATAATTGAAATATTGATACAATAAGTGATAATCATATTGATATTATTATTAAAAAATGCGTACACACACATTTTAGAAAACAACCGTGATATATTTATTTTCTATTTGAAATGTGACAATTAATAAATCTTTTGATGTTATTTATAATTTATCGAGTAATTTAATATTACCATAAGTGTATCCTTATACAAGCGAATAGCTTATTTTTGTTGCAATGTATTGTGGAAGCATGCCAAACAAACTTGAATAAAATATCATTTTAATATACAATAAAAAATGCGTATGTATACCCATACTATTTCGTATTACTTACGATAAAAATAAAATTTTGTGATAAATTAAGCTGACAAAATAGATGCAAAAATATATTCTGAATTTATTAGTTTTAATAATATATATGTCTCATATCGTATTATATAATGTATATTTTGCAAATATTTCATATTTGAAATGCATGAAATCTGCATATATAAATACTTAGGAAGAAACAAGAATACATGGTGGAAGTTATTTTCACCATGCAAGAATACAAGACATGGTTACTTAGCAACGTTCTTACAAAACAGTGCCACTCTAAATGTCAAGCAGACTGATTTCCACGGACATAAGTCAGCTGTGAGACTATAGATTTTGTAGTGATATTACCATTATTATTCATTATTTTTTTTTATACATTTTTTATATCTTTAAACAGATCAGTATATTATATAAATCTTTTTACATCTTTTTTGATATCAATAAAAATGGTAAGTTAATTAATCTCAATTATTAACCTATTATAAGTTCTTTTTTAGATTATCATTATTTGTATCAATATTAATATTATCAATGTTTTATCAGTATTTTATTAAGACATACTTTTTTACAAGCATTTTTATATAATTCCATGTATGATTTTTCTCTATCCATTCTGTTCTTTCATTTTATTTCATTCCTATTTCTAAATTATTATATTTCTTAACTGTGTGTGTTAATTATTTAAAATTGATAAAAAGGGTCCCAAAAAAGCAAAAGGAAAAGCGACAGATAATGTCGATGGGGTAGATACAACAAAAATGAATAGGGAACAATTAGAGATATATGCACATAAGATATTGGAAGAGATGGAGCGGGAACGGGAAGAAAGAAACTTTTTTCAATTAGAAAGGGACAAACTACGAACTTTTTGGGAAATTACGAGACATCAGTTGGATGAAGCCCGGGCTGTAGTCAGGTACTTTATCGATAATAAATGACCATTTGAATCACTGATGAATGCGTTTCAAATTCTTTAGAAATAAAGAACGTGAGAAAGAGGAATTAGTAGAGAATCACGAAGCTGAACTCAAATTATACAAGCAGAAAGTGAAGCACTTGATGTATGAGCATCAGACTAATTTATCTGAAATCAAAGCAGAGCATCTGGTTGCTCTTAAACTGGCACAAGACGATCATATTGTGCAAGAAAATGAGCTTATTAAAGATAAAACCAATCTTAAAAAAGTACAGAAAGAGCAAGAATTGGCATACATGAATGAAATTCGCGCATTAAAATTGGTAAGATGCACAATCTCTCTTTCTCTCTCTCTCTCTCTCTTCCCCCCCTTCTCCCTCCCTCTCTATCTTTCTTTATATGTACGCATTTATTAAATTGTAATTGAGAAAAAAATCGCTCATTTTTATACATATAAAATGCAGTATAATTCAGAGGAAATGAACAATATGATAAAAAAATTTGAATCTGAAGCAATAGAATTTGAGCAAAAGTACGAACAAAAATTAACAACCCAATATGAGTCCTTAATATTGAAACATCGTATGGAGATAACTGAAGTAGAGGAGAGGAAGAACGCGCAAATTGCGAATCTGATAAAGAATCACGAGAATGCATTTACCGAAATAAAAAATTATTATAATGATATCACTCTGAATAATTTATCGTTAATTAAGAGTATGAAGGTGAACCTTATAGTTATTATAAATTTTATAATTATAGAGTCACGGAAAATAAGGATCGACAATTTTTCAATTAACGTAGCATATATTTTAATAGGAACAAATGGAAATGATGAGAAACAATGAGGAACGTATGAAGAAACAAATACGGGAATTAACAACAGAAAATAAAAAATATTGGACTGACTTGAAAACTTTACAGGAAACGATTACCGAACTTAATCGTCAACTTGCAAATTACGAGAAAGACAAGCAATGCTTAGTTGTTGGTATTTGAAACATATCATTATATAATAGCGTTATGAAAAATTGAATTAATAATTATTACAGAACACAAAACGAAGATTATCCGCAGTGATGAAGGATTTAGAAAATTTAAAATGGGAAAATGAAGTTCTTGAGCTGCGTTTTGAAAAAGTAAGATATTTAAATATATAAAAGTAAGATATTTAAACTATACATATAACATTTTCGAAACATACATATACTATTTCTTATAAAATATATTTCTAATATATTTTATTTAGTGCCAATCCGAGAGAGACGAGTTACATTCTAGATTTGTGTCGGCTATATTTGAGCTGCAACAAAAAACGGGTTTAAAGAATGTACTCTTAGAAAAAAAATTAGAAAAGTTATCGGATTTACTGGAGCAACGTGAAGCACAGATTAGCGAAGTGTTAGCTGCTGCTCAATTGGATCCTGCGGTGGTGGTTAATATGAATAAAAAATTAGAGGTATACATTAAACACAATCTTATCACAATTATGTGAATTAAATACGAATACGATAATAATACATTTCTTTGTAGGATATGCTCAATAGAAAAAATACTGCAATACAAGACTTACAATATGAACTGGCGAAAGTATGTAAAGCACATGACGATTTGTTAGCAATTTATGAGAATAAATTGCAAGAATATGGAATTCCCAAGACTGAACTTGGGTTTCAGCCTCTAAGGATGAAGATAACTGGTGCGAAATTGGGTTTAGGTCCAGCTGGTCTCGTTACCGCAAATCAGTAATACATTAAAAAAATATTTATATATAATTAATTTGTGAAAATTTTATGTCTTGTCTGAGAAAACTGTGTTGACAAGTTTTATCATTATTTTTTATAGATTTTAATGAAAGAGATAATAAGTTTTTAGTAAGCTGTACAATTTGATATGTGTTTAGTACTGTATAGAATATTTGATAATACGCGCATTTAATGCACCTAGCGATGGACTTGGAAAAACTTGAAATGTTATTTTTGAACAAGATCGATATATGTACAGAATTTTTTGACAGAGTTTTTTATTCTGTAAAACAAATACACTTTAGCTTATGCGTTATGTTTTCAAAAATTACATAAAATTATCACAGAGAATGTACAGAGTAGATCGTATTATGCCTGGAAGTTGTATAGCCTCAGTAATTATTCAACATATTTATGCTTTTGCCTCTAATCATATTTCTTGTCGCAGTTAATGTTGGCAATGAAAAATCTGATATTGTATATGTTCAGCTCATATATTTTCATTTCTATTACTAATTACATAACTCCATTTTATGCTCCAACATCTTGTTAAATATTCAACAACTGGCAGGCACAAATACATTGAAAACATTCATATATAGATATTAACATATAGATATTAGACACTGACTATAGTCTAACTTGTAAAACACTGTAAGTCAAATACATCAGGTCACATGGTTAACAAATTTCACTGGCTTTATGTAAAATATTTCCCCATCCGTTTCTCACGCAATAATAGTAATAGTCTGTAAATTTTTCCATTTTATAATACTTTACGGTTAAGTGAAGAAATAATTTATCATTTGCTCACAGATTTGTAAATATTATACAACACTTTGTATAGATATAATTTTATAATACATATATAGATGTGTATATATATATATATTATACATATATATTTATATATATGCTTATGTGTATATTAAGAATTTTGGCACAATAAGAAATAGAATCACAGTTGAAATCATTGTACATTATAAGATTTACAGATAGTTTTGTCAATATGTCGGTTTCGTGTCTGTGAAGTGTATATTACACGCTTACTACGATATGAAATGCACATTGAAATGTGTAATCAATCAAACTTGAAATCCCACAACTAGGCTCTACATTATAGAAAATTACACAAATTATGAAATTATGAAATAATATATAAAAAATCCAGATTCCGGAAAAGATTACGCGAAATACTAAGAGATTAATCGGATATAATTCTGAGCACTGCAAAATTTAGAATTTATCTGTACGCGTGTTTTTTTTTCTTTGAATTAGGCTCGTTTGGTTACCACCTTATCTGGAAAGAACATTCGATCTACGCTTTTTTTTCCTTTTTATTAAATTTTTACGGCCGTGTCGAGTGTGTATCAGAGTCGTAGAAAAAATAAGCCTCTGTTTTAATTTTAGATATTAGTGGTCCATTGTTCCATTGTAAACCTTTTCCTCAAGTTCCTTGAAAAATTCGCTCGCTATATTTATAAGTGCATCGATTTCTAGCTTGTTGTGCGCACATTAAATTTAAATGAAAGCGTAATATATGCTTAAGGACGTTCTCCGAAAAATCCATTTTCTTTAGATTTTTCTAAAACTTACAGAATAAGCTTGTTTTAGTGTTCTGAACATATATACTTTGAAGCTCAGTACTCGTTGCGGGATTAAAAATCGAGATATTCCACTTCAAAGTTGAAACGTTTAACATAGAATCCCTATCTAAAGCTTATTCGAAAGTGGTTTTTTATTCACTGTAAACAAAGTTTTCTTTAGAATTTTTTGAAACAAAGAGACATAAAACTTGATATTACAAGGAAT